TTTTTTTGTTTTAGTATTTTGAAGTTGACCAATTGTTACTATAAGCAATTAATGATTATAGATGATCTGCACCGTAAGTAGAAAATAAGTATTTAAACTTTGCATAGGGATATGTGATTAGGTTATCAAATTATTAATAACATACTTAACCCAGTATTGTCATAGAATTTTTCACTAATATTTTTGAATCATAAATCATGTGCATGTGAAAATTTTTATGGTAGTGATAACTTGCAATTTTTTACATTGATAGTTAATGTTAAATGTGATCTCTCAACGGTAATGTGCGAACAAAATTATTTGTGCATTATCCTTGTCAATAAAGTATTCTGTTGTTGGTTGATTTTTTTAACAATAAATTAATGTTTGTTCATTATCCTCTTTTTTTTACTATGAAGAAATTATTAGAGCAGTGGAGCCAAATCTTGAGGTTGATGATTCTGATGAAAAGGAAGAAGTGGAAATGATGATTTTAATGGCAGAGGCCTCTCTTGTAAATGATTTTTCGTTATAGAAAACCACAAAAATTTAATGGGGTCTGATTCATTTCATCGACAATCATTTCGTCGACAATCATTTCGTCAACAATCACTTCATCGACAATTATTTCATCGACAATCATTTCATCGACAATCATTTCGTCGACAATCATTTCGTCGAAAGTTCATTTCGTCGACAGTTTATTTCGTCGACAGTTCATTTCTACAACAATTCATGTTAATTTGCATGGATTACAGTGTCACCAATTATGTTTGGAAAAGCGTGAATTAATTGATGATAACAATTGTTTATTAAGTTTATGTGGAATAGGTTTACTAACATATTTAATTTAATTAGTGGATAACTTTGGTTTTAAATGTTTATTTATTTTATTTAGTCGAAACTAATTAAAGATTTAGAGCTATGTTTAACACAAAATTTTAATCCATGATATTATTGTAATTAAAGCACAAAATTCGTCTGATAGCTTTATTGTAAGGTTTCTGGTCTAATATACCTACCTCTATATAAAAAACGTTTAAAAACCCAAATCGACAAAATAGTTTGAGCTTTGAGAAACAGTTTGGGCTAGAAACCTTACTTGATTGTCAGACCCATTTAATCATACGATTTTAATAATATCAAAAACTAATTTTCAATTTAATGATTTAGCGTAACATATGCATTGCACTGTTTAGTATCTACTACTACCATTTAATTTATTTATTATTAGTATAATTTGCATTTGTATGATTGTAATTAAGAAAGAAAAATTCAGGTAAAATCAGAGTGCTAATTAGTTTGCAAGTATACGAATGACTCAAATTTATGTATCATGAAAGGAATATTACCAATTTGTCTGATCCACTCACTCTACTAAAAAACAATAATTATTATCAATGCTAAAATATTCAATGTCGATATTGTTGCCATCACTATCATCACCTCATTTATCATTATTACAATACTCAAATTAAATGTCAGGTTGTTCATTGCTCCGAGCCTTGATAATTAACGACTTTTATCTTTTTAATATTGACATAAATTATGAGTAGCGTTATAGTACAATACATAAGCCGACGAAATGAACTTTTCGACGAAGTAAACGGGACCGAAATAACTATAATTGCACTTTAGTAAGAAATTATCTTGATGATGCACTCTCCCCATATAAACATTTCTTTGATAGACAGTTATCTCCAACAATGCATTAGCCATACGAGGTCCACATGCAGTACGTCTAAAAGGAGTTGCAAAAGCTTTATTTACTTGTTCCAATGATGAAGTTCCACGTAAATACAAAAGCTTTAGATTTATTATTAATTTTATCTAAAAACTCAAGACAATTATTAATTAATTAATTATTTATTTATTATATTAAAAATAAATACTTACCCTGCCCTTTTGATTTAGCCTTCCCATTGCAACTGTCAATGATACAAGGAATAATAGGTGCATAGTGATGATAAAATTTTTCAGGTCGCCAAAAAAAAATTGATAATAAATAGTCATCATCGGAAATTGGTGTTAAACTTCGATAAGAGTATTTTGGAGGATGATACCATTCAGAGGCATGTTTAGATGGAATTTTATCTCCTTTACAAACATATAATATCTTTTGTGATACAATTTCTATGTTTTCTGCTTGATTTTTTTTTGAATATCTGTCTATTTCTTTGGGTTATTACTTGATGTGGGAGGATGGAATACACCACTGACGCAATGATTCAAAATGATTGGCTCAAAAATCCTGGCACTCAATAATAAGCCCAAATTTTTGGAACCATATAAAAAAAATTTTATACTATGATTTTTAAGATTACATGTATGATTAAAAAAAAAAAGGATTAAAAAGAATTTAAAGAACAAAATGCACGATACAATGTAAATTTATTATTTTCCTTTGTCTCAATTGCAACTGGTGTAGAGGCGCCTATAAAGAAAATGTCACCAGGCTCTAATAATTCAGTTTGAGCATTATCACCATCGCTTACATTCAAAGTACCTTTCCCTTCGGTAACAATAATTATACTAGGACCATTTACACTGTCAAAATTTTCTTTTTTATGGGTTTCACCTCCTAACTTTGTTAAAATAATGGAAAATTCTTCTATTGGTGGATCATACAAAAGAGAAGTGGCTGATTTGTTATAATGTGTGTAAGGAAGAATTTGAGATTCTGCAGTACCAAAACGGTAAGTTAGCATATCAACAAGAACTTCAACATCTTTAAATTTTGGTGTCAATCCTGCACGAACAACATTGTCACTTGCTGCCATACATTCTATAATATCTGAAATAAGATGGATTAAATTAAAGCAGAAATGAAAATAAATATATTAATTCATATTCATATTCATTAATTTTACCTCCTGATAAATAGGCATGAGGTTCATTAGCTCCCAGAAAAATTGCTTGGCCAGGTTTTAATTGTATATAGTTCAACATGAATACACAAAAAATTCCAATATCTCCAGGAAATTGCTCATTCAATCTAATTAATAATTCATCTGAACTTCCCACTTTATACTTGATGTTATTTGATTTCAATTTTGAAATTAGACTGTCAACCTTTTCTTTTACAATATTTGGATCTGTTTTCATTACTTTGGTAAATATTTTTTTTAATGAAGATTTACTTTTTTTTAATGTTTCCTCATCATTAGAAATTTCAGAAGCTCTTTCTGCTTTTCTAAATTCCTCTACCAACTCTTCTCCAATAAGGTCACTGAATTCTTCATATCTATCAAGAAAATTTAATATTTCTTGTAATGGTCTAAATCCGCACAAAGCTTCAAATTCAGTAATAGCGATTGCTAATTCAGGCTTATGATTTGGATCTATATAATAATCAATGATATAAATTATCAAGATAGTTCTTTTTTTTTTTTTTGGGAAAAACAATCATTTATTTATCTACCTTTATATCTATTTGGATATTTTTCAAATAATATTCTTCCAAGTTCTTTATCGGGATGAGCTTGAATAGAAAGAGCTTTATTTACTGATAAAACCTTAAATAGAAATGGTAAATCTTGATTATATTTATCAGCAATCTCTTTTGTGATTAAGTCTTGATTTGATTTTATCAAATCTTTGAGAGGCATTATTTTTTTTTGATCCATAATTGCTGAACTTGGTCCATTGGGATGAGTACCCATCCAAAGCTTTAATAAAACAATATAATTGTTAGATGAAATTATTTTAAGAATAAATTTTTTTGATATTTTTTATGCCTACCTCAGCATAAGGTTTATCATTTTCAAGTATAAATCCATCTTGGACTTTAGCAAATTGTGCTACTTTACTATCAGAACCAATCTTACCCCATTCATAATTTTGAACAGCATTTTTTAAACGGTAAATTGAGGACTTTTTGGTCATAATTATTAGAAAATAATAAATAAAAATTTTTTTATAATAATTGATGTTTTCGTCAATCTTGTAAAACCTAAATATTACCACAACAAATTTTAATAAACAAACATCTTGGGCATTTTGAAACCAAACGTTGACTTGATTTTTTATTAGTTTTAATGTTTTGAAATTTTTGAAAGTTGGGTATTGAAGTATTATTAGTATTATTATGGATTAAAATTGCTTATATGAAAAATCATCTGATAAATAATTGTCTGGTTCGATTATTGCGCTTTAATTAATTTACACTACATTCGCTACATCACAATATATATATACACCATGTGGACACAGAATAACAAGAAGCTAGGTTATTCTATGACAAGCTGAAAGTATTGCTTTTGTTGACAAGATTTTATAAAAATTGCACCTATAGTTTGAAACCTTATATCTAAATAATGTCTAAATTTTGGGGGAAACCCCGTATCTATAATGCGCTTTGATATTTTGTAACTTACCTTTAACCTTTAACATCCACTGATCAGCATTTCAGAATGCATGGATGACCAATTTTATGAGACATGATGCAAAAGATTTTGCAAGTGAGATATCACTAGCGTTTGTTAGTGGAAATGAACTATACCTACCGTTTCAGGATTTTGACGAAAATTTAATACTTCAGGAACAAAGGACGTGTAAAAGAGGCGATAAATCAGAGTTTACAAAGTGACTCCTGTTTGTTCGAAGATGCGAATATCCTAGCATTGAAGTCATATATGATAGTTTTTACCTACTTAACTACTGGTATGTGGATAGACAGTCTGGCAGATACATTGGCATTTGCTATTACAATGTTTTAAAATGGTCTTAAGATCACGCAATGTTGGAACTGAAAAAACATATTAATATTAACAGGGTGTCAAAGAAGATAAATTGAAACCAAAAAAAAAACAAAACCAAGGCTGCTGATTTGCTATTACCGATAATTTCTTTCGTGGCTACGTTTATATCACCACGACGATGACAATTAATCACCACTGATTAGTTCCAGAAATTCAGAACAATGTGATCTTGTTCCTAAAGGAATACAATATGTTTCTTATTGAAAATATTTTTGTTTACCTTTTAAATCATTGATTTGTATCTGACTCAGAGATCACAAATCGATGAACAATTTTATTGTGCAAAAATTTGATTTTACATATTGTCCAAATTTAATTTTATTACCACTATTATGCTTTTTTGCATAAACAGCAATTCACTTTTATCAAGAAAATTTTTTGATGTGGTATTAGAAGCAAAAAAAGAAACTTATAGAAGATTTTTAGGGATCATATCCCGTCACTCACAATAGAACTTATTTCGTGGATGAAAATCAGGCCGATTCTTGTGAGGAAAATATTCCGTGATAAATGAAAATTATAGCATGTCTCGTTTCATAGCAAGACATATGTGTGTATTAAATGATGATTATTATTTATTATTATGATATATTATTATTATTATTAAAAATTCATAAAAGAGAATTTATTAAATTATGATTTTGATGATATGAAAAATGCATAAATAAATACATGCTATTGAATATTAAATCTTCTCTCATTTAATCAATTAAAAAGGGAAGAAAATTGGTAATATTAATTATACAAAGTTAGTGTTGAATTGATTGATATTTTTTTCATGCTTCTTGAATAATTGACGTTGAACCTATTATTTCGCCATTTCGCCATTGCCACTGCCCCCGTTGTCATTAATATTAATATCAATAATATTGTCATTATTACTATCGTTATTACTTTTTACATTAGTAATTTGATTTGATTCTTCTCCATCGTCACCATAGTCATTATCATTTTCTTCGACTATTATTTGTGTTTCATGCGTTATAGTAACTTGGGTTTCTTGGGTAACTTTAACTTGAGTTTCTTGTATTTGATTTTGTGTTAACGATGATGACGATGATAAATGTTGTTGTCGTTTTTTTTGTCGTTGCTGTTGTCCAACATTACCGTCACCATCACCGCTAATTTCATTATTGTCATCTTCTTCATTACCTTCTTCTTGGTCTTCTACTAAGTTACCATCAACATCACCATTATTATCCTTATTTAAACCCTCTAGATTTAAATTTTCTTCTTCAACATATGCTCTTCTGCTCACCGAACTTTTTTAAGAAAAAAAAAATAAACATTTGATTGATTGATTAATCTTATTCTTTCAAATCAGAGAGTAACTAAAATAACGAACCTTCGAGTTAGAGGTCTACAAAGTACCCAAAGACAATTCATATAAATATTTCCATATCCAAATGGATTTCTTTTACCATTTCTTCTAACCATAGGAACACGAATCTTAAAAAAGAGATTAATTAATTAGTTAATTAATTAGATAGATAAATAGATCTGAGTAGTAATGTTAATAATAATAAGAATAATAATGCTTTCTTTGTGTGGAAAATAAATAAAGCGTACCTGTTCGTGTGTAGTTAAATTTTGACTGATTAAATAACCATGATAGCATGTTAATCCGCCAACAGTCCACATTAAGAAAAATCCTAATATAATTAACGCAAAAGTAAACATATTACATTAAGGAAATATAAATATAAATGTATAAATAAATAAATTCCATTTTTCTTTTTTTAAAAAAAAAAGGATATCTAACAGGGACCCTCATTAGTGTTTCAACAAAATCGAGATTATTAGTTGTCTTTACTAGCAGGAAATGTGTAAGACAAAATCCCACCACATAACCACATAGTAAAGTTGATGTAGCAATAAATGTAAAAAAGGTTCTATAATTTCTTTGACCTATACAATTATTTAACCAAATACAGTGATGATCTTCGTTTTCTATTTGAAGGAAAGATGGTTTATTTTAGAATAAATCCTTTTTTTTTTAATTTTTTTTAAAAAAAAGAATGAATTGATGAGTAACAAACCAACACAATTATCACATTGTCGACAATGACTACATCTCGGTGGTCTATAAATCTTACAAGTTTCACAATATTTCAACCTAATAGTTTGTCCATTAACCTTAATCTCTCTAGGAAGTGGTATATTACTATATGCAACATTATTATTGTTGTTGTTGTTATTTATTGTATCATTTAGATCTTCAGTTGGTGGAAAAGGGTCAAGATTACGTGGAATAATCTATAAAATAAAAAATTATCGGAATAAGAAAAAAAATTTTTTAATAAAACAAAAAGAAAAAAAAGACTTACGCCAGGATCAGACCACGAAGTTTTTAACATGCTTGTTAGAGCTAATAAAAATAAATAAACGAATACAAAAACTGTTGCTGGTGAAACATTATAAAATAAAAAAGGACATCTATCAAGTTAAATTAAGGAAGGTTAAATTAAGAAATATAATAAAAATATAATTTTTCAAGAATTTTATAATAATAAATACTAACGTAAATATCATAAAAAGTCCAGATGGTATGACTAAAGCTGAAAATGCCACCAAAAAGGCAAAAGAATCTCTACTTGTCATTATTCTACCACCCAAGAAAAATCTATTTCTACCAGGCCAAACTTGGTATAAACGTTTTCTTTTCTTATTTATATTTTTGTCATTATTATTACTATTATTACTACTATTGTTATTGTTGTCATTATCTGTTTTAGACTTTTTAGATTTTGATTTTGAAGATGGAATAATGTGGGGCATAAGACTTGTATCAAAATCAGTAAAAGTATTTTGATTTTGGTTCTGTGATGATGATGGTAGCGGTGTTGATGATGATGACGATAAATGATAATGATTTGTAGAGGGCATTATCAGCTCATTTGGACTTATTGTAAATATATTGTTATTATTATTGATATTCATATTTAAATCTCTGGAATTAGGTAATGCACCAGATCCTGGAAGAATAAGATCTCTGTATGATGATGTTGATGTTGATTGTTCTAATATTATAGAATATGAAGGATCCTGTGAAGAAATTGGTGGTTGTTCAAGTATTATTGAATCAAATGTTATGTTGTTGTTGTTATTTTGTAAATCATTATCACTATCATATATTGGGTTAAATGCTTGATCATGTGATGTTGGATTTTCTGATATTATATAAAAAAATAAGCATTATTAATTATTATTATTTATACGAAAAGGGGATAAAAATAAATACCTATTGTAGAAGTAGATGGTGTTGTTGTTGACAGTGAAGTTTTAATTTGAGAATTAGAAAAAACAACAGGTTTACGCCTAGTTGAAGCTTGTTGTGAAATGGGTTTTCTTGGAGCAAAAAATTGCTTGGAAGGTAAAATTCCAGATGCATGACGTGAAGCTCGCGTTTGATTATTATTACTCATTTTTTTTGTTGACTGGCTATCTGACTATATAAATATGTAAATAATTTGATTGATTTTTAATAATATATAATTCACATGTATTAACATTCCTTTATTTAAAAATATAAATATTTAAAAATATCAATATTTATTAAATTTTAAATTTTATTTGACTCCGCTTGGATATACGTAAAAGATAATAATAAATTATTGAAAAAATGAAATTTTTTTTGAAAAATTTTTTTGAAAAATAAAATAACAAACATTATTGCTACTACAATTTTTTATTTCTTATTATTTGTATTAATTTTGCTAAACCTTTATTATTTATTTATTTTGAAATAAAGATTTTGTAACAATTACTCAATAAGTTGCAGATTATTTTTGTTATGCACACACGCACCACATAAACATGTCCAACCATCTAAACCTTTCCTCTCCTCTCTCACACATTATTATTTTACAGTTTATTTATTTTGTAAACATTTATCATTTATTGTTATAATTGTTAATCAATAAACAAAGAAAATCAAAAATTTTTTTGGGGGATGAATTATTGAAGAGGATAAATTATTTTCATGTACATATGATATTCTATAATACTTGCCAACATTATCGTTATATTCAGAATTTAAAGAGTCAGATGTTAATGCAGCATAGATAATATTATTTACGTTTCCATCTATTAACATATTACGGTTATAAATATAATATTAATAACTTACGTGTTTCAAGATCCCAACAAAAAATTAGCGAAGCAAATAATGAACAAACGATTAATTCTTTAATAAAAATTATTATTCTTCACCATTGAACAATAAATTTAAAATGGAATTCATAATAAACAAAACGTCATGTGGTTATGATCAAAGGACTCAATAATCCAAGTCACCTGCACATTTTTTCGTACATCAAAGTCACATGTTATCACCAATGATTATGAGAAATTCATATTTTCAATTCATAAATGATGATCAATATTTTACTTTTTCATCAAGTTCATTACTACTAATAATAATATTGTTAATAGTATTGGGAACAACAGATGTAGAATTTTCTTTTTTTTTCAAGTTCATGTTTATTGTTAATGGTATTTCTACCATGAGTTTATTAAAAACATCAATGGATCTTGTTATGTAGTCTTTGATTTTTTAATATTATTTTTAGTTTTATTGTCAATTGTTGTTACATTTTTAGTAATAACGAAGAAAATAAATTTTGAATAAAAGAAAGAAAGAGCGTGTTTAAAAGACAATAGAAGAAATATGTTTTTCTTTAACAAACAAATAAACGCACATATATATATATACACACACACTTAACAAAAAAAACTTGCAATTGAAAATTTTTCTACACTTGCAAGGAAAAAAAAACAGTATTTATTACACATTCCTTTTTGTCTAATAAATATTGTAAATATATTCTGTTCATTCAACATACTAACCATTGGCTAGTAACATGCTACTATGATGAAAAAATAATACCCATCCCTATCTTCTTTTGGCTGTAATCAACTCTTTAGAACTAAATGTAATAGTAATGTTAATATTTATAATTGTACTTTCTAGCGTTGCTTCACTGTATATACCTTTTTAGTTGCAACAAAAAAATAAATGCAATGTTTTCGAATGCTTTCATCTACTTTAGAATTACCTACCCATTTTTCGAATTACTTTGATAGAACCTAAGCCTTAGAATGAATGTCATATGTAATATATATAAAAGCCGTGCATGTGAAGGATTTCGTAATTAGCTAAAAGTAATTGCAAAGTAATAGAGGTAGACGAATATTTCGGAGGAGCCTGTGGCTCTAGGTGAGAACAACATTGGAGGCTTGAGTCAAGATACGCGTACTCTTGTATGGTGTCACGAAAGTTTATAAAATATTAAATATTAACATAAATTTTTATTCTTTGTTATATATATATATATTTACACGTCCTAATAATAATAAACCCATATCAATTTATTATAATCATCGATATTATTATTATTGCCAACAAAACAATGTAAAAAAATAGAATAATTCATAAAAATTGATTTTCTCCTTATTATTTTATATGAATGTAATATGTAAAAAAATATTTATTAAATAGTAGTAGATTGTTTATCATTTTCATTGTTATTGCTATTATTACTGCAATTACCATTGTCATTACTATTATTATTGCTATTGCCATTGCAATTGCCATTATTATTATTGTTATTATTATTATCATCATCATCTTGAATCCAAGGATGATTTAATGATTGTCTAGCAGTAGATCTTTTATCCGGGTTAAGATCCAACATTGGTAATAAAAGACTTGATATTAATGATGACTCTTGTGAACTAAATAAATATTTATCCCTTAGAACATCTGAAAGTCCCCAATGACGTAATTTGTGAATATGACGAAGCTCTCCTTTAAATAGTGATAGTAGTAGTAATAATAATGTTTTGAAAATTAATTAAACATGTAATTAACTTTAATCAATAAATCAATCATTAAACAATTAAACAAACAATCAATCAATTACCTTTTTTATTAAATATTTCATGGGAATATTTACCATTTAATGCTAAATGTTTTGGAAATATTCCTAATAATTCCACGATTTGAGCAATATGATCTATAAATTAAATTAAAAAGCAAAGTAAAATATAACAATCAATTTTTTTCCTCTTTTAGAAGAAAATGATATTGTAATAATAATAATAAAAAAGAATACTTGCCATCATCTTTATTGTATCTTGAACCTGCTTGAGGATCAAATAAATAATCACCTGTAAGTAACTCAAATGCCTACAAAAAAAATTTATTATTATTATGATTATTATTATCATCAACATCATATATAATATTTAATTATAAAATCTATCTAATTTTAATATCTTTTTACCATGCAAGCCATACTCCAGATATCAGCACTTCTGCCCCATCTACTTCCAAGAATCACTTCCGGACTTCTATATTGTCTTGTTTGAATGTCATTGGTAAAGTGGTGTTCGACCCAACAAGCATTACCTAGATCTGCAATTTTAACGGTAATTTTATCTGGAGTGGTCCATTTTGATGATAATTTGCGAGATAGGTTAGCTTGTGATTTAGTATTAGCATTTATAGAAGATGAAGTTATGTTAGAAGAATCAACAAGGGATATATCATTAAGATTACGTTCTAATGTTTCTCTGAATTATAAATAAATAAATTTGAATAGTAATAAATCATGCATTATATATAAATGAACTGATTTGATTTTAATAACTAAGGATTTTATAAAAAGAAAAAAAAAATAATGATTGTTACGTTAATGTCGTATCTATTGGAGTTTTAGATGCATCTGTCATTTCAACATCCTTAATATAATCTTCTTCGTTACTTATTTCTATTCGATCGTCGGCTACTTCTATATCTTCTATGCTTCCTCCGTTAGTTGTTATTGTAGCAGGAGTAGTAGTGGTAGGAGTATTAGTGGTAGGAGTAGTAGTGGCGGTGGTAGTGGCAGATTGTTCACCGTTTCCTTTTGCTGCTTTTTTCTTTTGCTTTGCTTTTAATTTTTTTTTTTGATTTTTGTTCATTTCTTTTGGTGAAAATGACTCAGTCACTAATGATGATTTTTGAGTGGCAGAAGTACTAGATGAAGGTGATAAGAGTGGCTGACTACCAGTTATACAAACACTGTGACCTTTTCTAGTGGAAGAAGTAGTTGATACTGGTTTTACACCAGTTGCAAGCTCATTCCTAATAACTTCCTCAACGTTATCAATACACACTAAAACATTTTCCGGTTTTAAATCAGTGTGAATTATACCACATTCTCTATGCATATAATCTAATCCCATAAGCACTTGTTTTGTGATCTGTTTGACCAAATGATGCGGTATACCACGGTGATTGTATCTTTTGATTAGACTTAATAAATTTTCACCTAGTACTTCAAAAACCATGCATACATGAACTCCATTAGGACCTGAATGTTGAAAATGATCTAAAAGTTCTACAATATGACGACGACCTGGCGCATTTAAATTTGCATCAACTATTTTCTTAAGTAATTTGATTTCATCTAAAGCTGTTTCTGTATAATGTGTTGCTGATTTTACAACTTTAAGAGCAACATGACGATCACGACTTTTTGTTATTGTTATTGTTGAAATTATAGTTATTATTTAAAAAAAAGAAAATTAATAAATATAGATTATATAAATAGATTTTAAAGTTTATTTAAAAAAAGTAAATTAAGCAAGTATATAAATATGCATATGAATATATAAATATAATATTTATATTTATAAAAAATTTTAAATGTTCTTTACCGATTATCTTTTGCGAGCCAAACTGTTGAAAAATGACCCCAACCCAATTTTCTTACAACAGTATACCTTCCTTCATTAAACACATCGCCAATTTTAATAGGGTGATAGCCTCCTGTACAGTAATCTTTCAAGTCCTCCTCATCTTCAGTTAACACTTTTGATATTTCTTTTTCTTCAGAAGAGGTGCAGGTTGACAGGGTAGTCATTGTTATTGAATTTCATTGGCCATTTGGATTGGCTATTTGTCCCAATTATGACAGGATTCGATAACGTCACACATTTGATCTGCGTGTGACATAATCATTTTAATTGAAATTTTTTTTAAAGAAAAAAAAGTATTATATAACTATTTTAATCAGAAAAAAAAAACTATTGCAAATCATTTAATAATGATATTTAATAAATAACAATTGATACATAACAATTAATAATTATGAAACTTTATTATTTGGAGGAGAAAAAATTACGTGATAACTAAAAATTTTCCAAATTCGCTAAACAAGCACGTGGTAAACAATAAGCAATTGATTAAACTATTATAGAAAATTGATTAACAAATCATTTTTAAGCGTATCTTTCTATAGGTTAAAAAATTTAATAATAATAATAATAAAAAAAGATGTCTATACCCAAACCAAGTTGGGCTGATGAAGTTGGAGAAGAACTTGGTAAAAAGTTTGTTATATACATTAAAAGATCACGTTTTTTTAAATCTGGGATATTTATTTATCAATTCTTTTTTTTTTTTTAAAAAAAATTTAACAGATCAACTTCCACTCGAAAATTTTGCTGATGAAAATGTTGTAACCATTGTTACTGAACAAACTAATGATGAGGGTAAAAAAGTGAAGGTGAATATTTAATGATTGATGAGATTATATATTTAGTTCAATTTTATGAAAGCTTTATTTATTTTTTTATATATATTGTTTTTTTCAGATTACTAGGAAGATCAAAAAAACTTTGATTAAAGAATATGTGAATAAATCAGTTGCTGAGAGAAAGGTATAAATGATGATGATGATGATGAATATGAATGTTTAAATGCTGATTATTATTTATTAATCATTTAATCTATTAAAAAAAAAGAAATGGGCAAAATTTGGAGAAGAAAAAGGCAAGAAGCCGGGTCCAGATCTTAGAACAACAACAATTGGTGAACAAATTTATTTGAAACTTTCTACCACAGGAAAAGTAATACATATATACATACATACATGCATACATACATACATACACATACATATATGCTTGAAGGCATAAATAGTAGATCAATTAATATTAATTATTTTGCTTGGTAAAAATAGCATGGAGAATCACCAGAAGAAGCAGATGCAAATAAGAAAAAACAATTGTTAATGTCTAAAAAGATTCTTTGTCGTATATGTAAAGGGGATCATTTTACATTGAAGTGTCCATATAAAGACACATTTAAACCAATAAATGATTTAACATCTGATTTACAAGATGCAAACAAGAAAACAGGTATGTTATTAATTAAATTATTAAAGTTACGATAATAATTAATTAAATTATTTATTCATTTATTTATAGCAACAACTACAGAACCATCATCAACAGCAGAGCCACCATCTGATAAATATGTTCCTCCAAATATACGTTCAGGAGCATCTAAACCAGCAAATGCTGGCGAATCAATGAAAGAAAGAAGAGGTGATGTTAATTTTATTATTATTATTTTATAAGAAAAAAATAAAAAATTAACATTATAAATTTATATATAGATGATGCATCTATCCGTGTTACCAATTTATCTGAAGATACTACTGAGGGTGATATACATGATCTTTTCCGTAAATTTGGAAGCATTTCACGTATTTACCTTGCTCGTGACAGAGAAACAAATGTTTGTAAAGGGTTTGCATTTGTTAGTTTTAATTCACGTGATGATGCATCGAGGGCTTTAAATGCTATTAATGGATATGGATATGATAATTTGATTTTAAGAGTTGAATGGGCCAGGTAAACAATAATTATTTCTTTAAACGAGTATTTAAAAAAAATTTTTTGGCAGAAAAAATTTAATTTTATATTTTCAAACTTTTTTTGCTAGATCATCATCATAAATATATATTTTTTTTTGTTGTTGTCATTATTATTATTATTATAATTATAAAAAGTAATTTAATTAATGCAAAGAAAAAGATTAAATAAATAAATTTATTTATTAAAATATTAAATAACTTCTAAATTATGTGGGGGCTTTTCAATATAAACCAGGCCATATTATGAAGTAATTTACTATTTTTAAAACTTTAAGCCAAAAATGTTTTACATGGGAGGTTACATATAGCAATGATATTTACTCAAAATTACTTTTTTCACAATATGGTCCGCTCCTATTGGAAAGCCCCCATATTATCACCACCACATTATTAAAATAAATTTTATTGATTAATTAATTAATTAAAAATATGTTACAGTAATTTAAATAAAAATAGCTGAATAGTAATAATAATAAATGGCTAGGAAAAACTTATTATTAAGTGTTAAAATATCTCTAGTTTTAATAACAATAATATAATTATTAGCATAGTTAAGAATTCAATATTAAAAAATAAATAACATTTACATCAATTATAAATATATATGTGCTACTGCACTATATCTACTTTGTTAACTGAAGATGCATCTCGAGTAGCAGCTTTTGCTCCACAAGTTGTACTATGGGATAAATTACTATCAATGCTATTATAAATATCACTATTATTACCTTTATTATTATTCTTAATATTGTCATTATCAGGTTTTAAACATATGTAAGTACTCAAGAAACAAGGATCTCGAACTATTTGCCCAGTTGTATAACGTTCTTTTGGATTAGGCTCTATTATTTTTGACATTATTCGACGACGATTCTACACAAAGCAAAAAAAAATTTTTTTAAGAAATATAATAATTTAGTCATTATCATCATGGAAATTTTTATGATTATTTACATCAGTTAATCTTTGAAAAACAGTTAAAGCTTTTCCATGTTTTTTTGCTTCAAGATAAGCATGGTAATTGGGATCTTCGGCATCTTTGGCAATTCGCCATAAATGTTGTCCAGTGATCATAGCCATATAAATAATACCACAAGCCCAAACATCAACAAGTCTAGGATCAAACCAATCTTCAATAAATTCCTCAGGAGCAATATATGGTTCACTACCAGATATACCATGTGACAAATGAACTTGAGTTTCCCATGCCATACGGAAACATTCACTATTACCAAAATCAGTGATCTTTAAACAACCTTTTGAGGTTAACAAAAGATTTTCTGGTTTAAGATCACTAATAAATAATAAATAAATCAATATTATTGTAAGAATAAAAAATAATTAACTAATTATACATAATTTATAAATGTAATTATCACTAACCGATGAGCAACACCGTTATCATGTAAATATTTTACACCATTGATTAGTTGACCAAAAAAACAACCAGCTTCTTCTTGTTCCAATGAGCCACATGAGGTAATCAGTGAATATAAATCACCACCAGGACAATATTCCATTACTTCACAATAATTTCCTTGTGTGTCCTGAAGTAGATCCAATGTATTAATGACATTAATATGATGGAGTGAGGAAGAAATACAAAATTCAGAAGTTAATCTTTTTATATATTTCTTCGGTGGTTCATTGTGCCTTTTCTTAAACTCCTATTATTTTAAAAAAAAAATTTAAATAAATATACAACTGTCACTTGGTCATGTGATCAGGGTTATCAAAACACAACAATTTGGATTTTAGAGTAAAGAAAGAGGTGAGCAACCTTAACAGCAAATAGCTTTTCGCCATGTACTTTTGGTACTGCTTTATGAGCAACTCGAACAATACCAAACGCACCTAATATATGAAGTAGAAAAAAAAGTTTTTTGTTGTATATATTAATAATTAATAAACTTACCAAATCATAAAATTAAATAAATAAATAAATACCCTTTCCAATAATTTCTTGAGGTTTTCCGTATTTTTCTAATAATGAAGATTCAGAACTAGACTTTTTAAATGATGGTTTTACAATATCAGCATTATTATTATCATCATCATTATTATTTATAATTTGCTGATGTTCTTCAACAGGAACATGATGAATAATTCCAAGTTCTCTTAGGAAGTTTGGCAATCTGTGAGTTCTCTTGGAAGGTTGTAAACAATGAACATGAGAGCCGTCAGCATTTTTTCGAAAACGTACATTTTGTTGTTGAGCCGTTATAGAATTACTGGCGCGTGAACTATGATAAGTATCGGAAGATTTAATAGACGAGGCTTTGGAATGATTTTCAGCTTCAGATTCGTTACAGATAATGTAAGATGCCTTTGAATCATTTTGATGTTTTGCTTTTTCAATATTATCAACATGAAACATTTTTTGTAAAGTGTTATGTATTTTATTTCCAGCATGCTTTGTTTCTTTTGAATGAACATTAGGATCGCTAGGTTTAATTTCGTCCTGAACCATTGTTTCGTCAACAGAAGATTGATTGGGTATGTTGTTGTTGTGAATGTGGTTAAGAAATAGCTTCTAATTGATAATTTACGTTTGTTGAAATTTTTTTGTTCTAAATAAAAATTTTAAATTACGTGTTTTTTTTTTTAAAGAAATATAACTTGGTTACACGAATTCTTTATTAAACAAAAAGTGAGTATTTGATTTCTAAACAATCAATATTATATTTCAAGTTACTAATCGAGAAATAAAGAGCTATTTTAAGCCAATTAAAGAGATACACTTTAATTATTTTTGGCTTCCTTGTGTGAGGAATGAAACCTCGAACAGCCTTTCTCACCTGACTAACTAATACTTATTTAATAAATATTAATTATTTTTGTATAAAAACTGAGGGAACTTTGATTAATTCGAGAAAAAAAGATGACGAACGTTCTAACGAAAAATTTAATTTTTCTACCTTAATTTATAAAAATAATTTGGTAATAAAAAAAAACTATATTCCAAAAATTAATTTAGATATTAGTAATATATTATTATGACGTAAATAAGAGAGATTTGTTATGAAAAATAAAATTATAAATATCCAAGAATATTTTTTATAAAATTTTGTTTAAAACCGAAAAGATAAATAATTTGATGAAATATTTACATTATTAAACGTTAAATAAAGATTCATGGCATAATATAAAAGATGTTTCATTATAATTTTGTGCACTTTTTTTTTATTATGGGCATGTGAATCAACAGTAATAAACACTTGGACATTTGACCAAAATTTTCATATTGTGCTAACTTTTTACCTGAACGCCAGATTTAAACTTTTGGTAATTGGATCAAAAAAGGAAATGCTGACGGTGTAACAAGATTAGATTGATGATAAGATCAATCTAAATTCTAGATTGACTAAATTTTGTGCCTTTCTTTTCGTTATAATAAAGAACTAACTGTATTCAATCGTTCATCATCATCACAGGGATTAAGGGAATGCTAAGAATGCATCCACATGTTGGTTGGGTTTTTTAAAAAAAGTCATTCATGTAAAAAACTTGTGGCGTAAATATTGGTAATAATTTTATTTTCCTTTAATGTTTAATTCGTGATACGTGAGACAACTGATGCTAATATTAAAGCAGTGTGTTCGAGTGCTTGGCCAATTAATACCCAGATAATCTGTCAAATTAAAATTTAGCGCTTGGATAATCGATGATTGCTCGATTATTCACCGAATATCCGCTGAATATCCGCCGAATAAGGCTCTGAACGAATCAATGGAATTCGAGCCGATTCGAATCAACTAATTTTGATTCGTTTCATGCGAATCTATTTGACTTGGCTCGAATCTAATTCAAATTCTGGATAATTTAAAAAGTTGCCTTTGGAAATAAATGTTTCGAAAGTCCAAAAAATATTTACCTAGTGCAATGATTGCATTTGGCCTTCCATCTACAACTGTAATAATATAACTACACACTTCACCTCTTGTTCTTCTTTGAACACATTGCACCGTGCCTGTTGAAGGGGCATCATTTTCAACAATGCAATTGTCGTCGTTCCTCATTGTTTGTTTATTATTTAAATTTAAAACAATGAATTCATGCAACTGTAAATTATATTGCTTTTATTTGTTATCGTTATTAATATTAAATATGCAGAGTTTCTATACGTAATACAAATTCGAATAGAAACCCTGTTAATATGACATGATTCGATTCGATTCGTCCGTAACCTTACCGCTAAATATCTTACTCTGAAGTCTGCGGAGATAAAATAGTATGTTATGTATTTATTCACAATAAAAAAAAAAAACTCTTTTCACCCAATGAATAATATTCAATGAATATTGGTTAATCAGATATTTGTTTTTTTCATTGATTGATTTGATTGACCAATATAATAAGTTAAAAATGAATATTCAATGAATCAACATATTGTGTAACTGAGTTGAGATAAAACGTTAAATTTAATTTATCTAATTAATTAAATTTAAAATGAAACAAAGCCTCAGTCACTATAATAGGAAAAAGTAATAATACAATAATGAGAAGGGTGAAGTCTTTTGCTGCTCATATATTGAAGAAAAGGGTGGTTCTAAGAATTCAAGTTGTATATGGAACTTGATGGAAGAAACTGAAATTGTAAAAGCTGGAGAAAAATCTAAAAGGTGCTATTGGAAAAATCATGGAAATTTTCTGGAATTTAAATTCAAATAATGGGCTGATTTTTTTTATTGTTTTTTGAAAAAAATATTGATAATTTTGATAGAGTGTAAAATGATTAAAATATTTTGTTAACAATGAATATTCACTGAATACTTACTGAATAATCATTCACTCAATAATCAATTTAATAATTGAATGAATACCCAAATATTTTAATTGATGATCCGCGAATGAATGAGTTTGTCGTATGTTAAAATAGTAAAAAATAGGAGATTTCATATCAAATGATCGGCAAAAAAATCTAGGTGCTGATTTTACTATTAAAAAATTTTACTTTATGATCTTTTACAAGAAAAATAGCACTATGCTTTTGATCCTCAATTTTATATCCCTTTATTTTATAAGATGGAATAAACATCATAGAATATATTGGTACATTTTTTTGATTTTTAATCAGAAAATAAAAAACTTTCCTTTGTAGCACCTGTAGATTTTTCATCTATATGGAATTTCCCTCACAAATTACTATAGAAATAATCAACATCTTCCTCATTCATAAACGGATCATCAATTAATTATTCACCAAATGATTATCCCAAAATATTAAGTTTAATTGATTGAATGAATATAAAATGAATGTATATATATGGGCACAATCTCTATTAATATTAATATCACTCGACGAATATAACAGTATGCGGGGAATTGTCATGCTAACCAAATTTAGAAATCATTGGTAGATTTTGCAAATAGTTTCCAAATTTGATTAGCACTGATAATTCTGCATACTGAATTTTTTATAGCTCAGTCATCTATATAGAACTGACCAATTTTATGCAGCGTTTTTGAAGCCTATCACATGGACACATAGAGCACCTTTGGACTCAAACTCTTCATAATTTTATAGTAAATACCAAATAATAATTCTATGAAAAGTTGGATGTAAAATATTTATTACTTAAAAAGTTATGGTGGTTTTGAATATATATTAGTAACTTTCTATGTTGACCCTAAATTTTTGTCACCTCTCCCGTAGATTTTTAACTATTAAGGGATGATCTTCACCCAAAAATTTTTCTTTTTTCTTATTTAAGAAATTTTATTTCCTGAATTGGAGATGATATTCTAAAATTGAAATTTCGTCACCACCACATTCCCGCACTGAAGGTTTGGCCGCGTAACTCAAATGAGCACTTGGCTAAACTGACCAAACTATTTAGTCATATGCAGTGTTGGAAATTCGTCGATCTTATGATCTGCAAAAAAAAATTTGTGCACATATGAACACAAGAAATTTTTATTTAAATAAAATTCGTAAAATTACAAATTATAGAAAT